GATGGATGGAAGGCAGATGGATGGGTAGATGCATGGATAAGTGGATGGATGGATGGACACATGGATGGATGGATGGATGGAAGGTGGATGGATGCATGGTTGGATGGATGGATGAATGGGTGACACATGGATGGATGCATAGATGGATGGATGGACACATGATGGATGGTTGGATGGAGGGATGGATGGATGGGTGGACAGATGATAGATCATGGATGGATGGATAGATGATAGATGATGGATGGATGATCGATAGGATATATTAATAGATAATGAAATAGATAGATGACAGAGAGGTAGATAGGTAGATAACAGATGGATGATAGATAGAGATAGAAGATAAAGACAGATGTAGGTGAATGGGTGGGTAGAAACAAGAGATTTTTCAAGAATTGTCTCATGTGGCTGTGGGGACTGGCAAGTCTGAAATCTTCAGGGCCAGCCCGCAGTCCCGCAGGAGTGGATGCTGCCATCTTGAGGCCACAGGCTAGAAACTCAGACAGAATTTCTGTGTTGTGCTCTGCAGGCAGAATTCTTTCCTCTTTAGGGGACCTCAGTCGGCTTTCTCTTACATCCTTCAGCTGATTGTGTGGGGCCCACCCACAGTATGGAGGGCGGTCTGCTAATGTAAATGTTCATCTCACTGGGGAAAAAAAAAAGCAAACCCATGACGGGGACATGCAGATTGGTCTTTGACCGTGTGTCTGGGTGCCATAGGCTGGCCATGATGACGCATGAAACGCAACATCACAGAGCAAATCTCTTTCTGAGAAGCTGAGAAGAATCAGTGTCTCGTGGAGAATGATGGCTGGTGCTGGGCACATGTACGGGGGAAGGGAATCTGCGGGCTCCACCCCGTACCGCCCTCTGGTTGGCTTTATTATCTGCCCTGTACGCAAATGCACCCCCTGAGGACACAGCAAGAACTTTCACGATGTTGATGTGTCCTATTTGCTTCTGTTAATGAAACTAGTATGGGGACGTGGAGCAATTAGAATGAAGGGTAAGAATGAAGTAAGCACGGCCCATAGGGTTATCATCCATGCAGGCAGCCTCACTGAGCACTTTGGGAGGAGTCCCTTTGCCTCTGTGTGCCTGGACCACACCATAGAGACACACTTTGCAAGAACCACTTGCTTTTCTTCTCTCCTCTCTTTTTATTTGGACGGGATGTTGATGATTTCCCCAGGGCTGGTACTTGGGTCAGGTGTTCACTGCTCTCTTTGTCTTTAGGTGGAAGACTCTGGAAGGTCCACTACATGACACCGCAATTCCACCCCAAGGGGGCGGGGGCCTGCTACGGCCGAGGCCTGTGCCCCTGCTCTGGGGACGGCGTGACCCAGCACAGCCCGCCTCTGCTCTTCGACCTCTCCAGGGACCCTTCTGAGGCAGAGCCCCTGTCCCCTGGCTCCGAACCCCGGTACCACGCGGTGGTAGCACGGGTGGGCGAGGCAGTGGATCAGCACAGGAAGACCCTGAGTCCCGTGCCCTCCCAGTTTTCCCTGAGCAACATCATCTGGAAGCCGTGGCTGCAGCCGTGCTGTGGAACCTTCCCCTTGTGTGCATGTGGGCAGGACGGAGGTCCCCGGTGAGACATGACCTCACACTTGGCAGGATGCCTGTCATCAGACAGCCAGGGGGCAAAACATGCTGGTGAGGATGCAGAGAAAGGGGGATTGTCTTGCACTGTTGCTGGGAATGCAAACTGGTGCAGGCATTCTGGAAAACAGGATGGAGGTTCCCCCCAAAATTAAAAAATAGAGCTATCCTATGACCCACTGATTGCACTTCTGGGTATTTGGTCAAAGGAAATGAAAACGGGATCTCAAAGATAGCTGCACTCCCATGTTCCTAGCAAAATTCTTCTCTTCAGAGCAGCCAAGACCTAGAAACAACCCAAGCGCCCATCGATGTGGTCCATCCACACAACGCGACACGACTCAGCCACGAGAAGCAAGGAGATCCTGCCCTTTGTGACAACGTGGACGGAACTCGAGGACATTATGCAAAGTGCAATAAGCCAGACACAGATCCAAAAATACCACATGATCTCACCGATTCGTGCAATCTTAACAAAAAAGAAGGGAAGGGTGTGTTCTGTCTTGGAGGGACGCAACCCCGTGCTAGCAGCCTCCTGGCATTTCCAAGCTCTACCACCCTCTGCCTCAGGGCCTCGGGATGGCTGCAGCAGCTCCAGCCACCACACAGACATTCCAGGCTGCAGGAAGAAGGGCAATCCTCCCCGCAGAGTCAGCCCCTGTGAAGGGGATTCTGCAGAGGTTCGAACCCTGGACTCCTGCTTCCCTCCGTAGAAACAACTGGGAATTGAGACATTCCCTCTTTGAAGTGGGCACATACCTGCAGGGGGTAGACTCAGGGTTAGTCTCGTCAGCCTAAAGGTGAGACAGGCTTTATAATGACTTGTCCGAGGTCTTTGATACATATTTCATTGCCAAATTACTTATTTAGCAAATTTCGAGGTTCCAGCTGGCTTATAAAACCTCAAGTTTCCCCAAGAAACCTCCTCCTGGGCTTTTCTTCTTTCTTCCGCGCGCCCCTCCTTTTTCTTCATCCTCTGTGACTTTCTTGTCTGCTTCTCATGAGTCAGTCCTTTTTGAGTGAAACCTTTTTCCACTCGCGAAACACTGCCAATATCCAACTCTACACATACATGTTTTAATGCAAAACTGACTCAGAAAATCAGACAGGCAGCAGGGAGGGACGGAAGGAAAGACGGGGACTGCCTGCAGATCCACCAGGGAAGGAGGCAGCCCAGGGCCCCGGGGCGGTGATAAGCAGGATGCACTCCAGGGGTCAGGGCAGAGCAGAGCTGATTTACTACCCGACGGAACAAGCCTTATCTTGATCTCCAGGGCCCTGTGTCTCTACTTGCCGCGAAACATTGGCAACTGGCCTAACCGGTTAGACCGGCTGTAGCTTAACTACGTGCCACCTCCCCCCCTCCCCCCAGCCCCGGGAGGCAAGACAGACTTCTCCCCTCCACTGTGGGCTCAGTTGAAACCGAGTTTCCTCCCACAGACCTTGGTGCTCAGTCTGCAGACACAGCAAACGGGGAGCTTTGCACGGACTGCCGCTGAACCCCCAGGGCTGCCTGCCAGGTTCCGTCTCTGGCCGCCTTCCTGTCCCACGCCTTTATTGCAAGCTCTGCGTGAGTGTGAGCAGGCTCTGAGGGGCCTGGGAGTGCACTCGAATACCCAAACTAGGGAAATTTTGCAGAGTATGGTCAGCTTTGGCTAGCCCCATAGATGAGTCTGTTACACATCCAATGGGGCATTCCCTGTCACAGTTGGCTGTTCACACGCAAAAACACACATTTAGACCCCTAGCCTCTCACACGTCCCGAAGGATGAACGCCAAATCCACTAGAGACCCAAACGAAAAAGAGGATCAGAAAGAAACTCACGGCAAAATCTTTGTCCTCTTGGGTTAGGAAGAGATTTTTTAAGATAAGACAACCAAAGCTCTTGATCTGCTTTTCAAAACCTGATAAATGAGTTTATCAAAATTCAAAGCTTGTGTGCTTCAAAGAGCACCATGAAAAAAAAAAGGAAAAGATAAGCCGCAGATGGGGAGAAAAATATTTCCAAATGAAAACAACTCCATAATAAGGAGACAGACCACCTAAGACGTGGGCAAAAGATGTGCAGTCGTTTTACTAAAGAAGAAATGAATGACTAATAAGCACACACAAGGATAATTGGTCTGCATTTCCTTATTCAGGAGTGGTCACCAGAAAGAAACCCCGTTCTGCTTCAACTTGTTTGCAGTCCCACGCCAAAACCCATCAGCAAGTGAGCTGTTCATGTGCATTCAAGTACCACACAATGGTTTCAGCAAGATAGGACCGAGTGATAATACTATACTTTGTTCCTCTACATCTACACACCTTCACCCACCCTGCAAAGTCACCATATCCACAGGTGCTTCTCCCCACGTGGCATCTCCTCCTGCTCCCAAATAATAGTTGGGAAATATTTCTAGAACAAGAAAACGTAAACGCACACACACACACAACCTACCTTTTATGTACCCAAATATTAATGATAGTACAGGTCAAATCACATCTCCTGGGGACTCAAACAATTGTGTGGTCCTGACCTTACATAGCACAGATTCTGCATTGGCCTTATTCATGTAACAACATCGTATTATACCTCTTACACAGATGTTATTTAGAAACCCTCAGAATGTTTTGAACCACTCATTTATGAATAAGTACATGTCACAGGGCCTGCCCTACAGAGAACTCAATAACCATGGGATGGGTGGATAGACGGATGGAAGGATGGATGGATGGGTGGCTGAATACATACGTGGATGATTGATAGATGGATGGATGAGTGGTTGGGTGGAAGGACGGATGAATGGCTGGATGGGTGGATGGATGGATGGGTGGATGGATGGATGGGTGAGTGACTGGAAGATGGATGGATGGCTTGAATGAATGAATGTGACACTGAAAAACAATGCTAGGAAATGGGTAGCTTCCCTAGGGAGACCTTAGGGAATTTCAACACAGTGAGAAGTAAACAGTTCTACACATTTTACTGCTACTAGCAATTCTGAAAAAAAATGTTGGTGATTTAAATTTACACACACCCACATCCCTTCCCTCTGTGACATATAAAATATTATTTTGATGGCTCAGAACACACACAAACACACACCAGAAGGGACACCATGTTGCTGTTTTAAATTTTTAATTGAAGTGCATTAGCATCCATTCAAATCAAAGATATAGAGCAGAATGCATAACAGAAGTCTGTGTTGAACAGACACCTTAAGCCATTAAACCACTGTCCAGAAACAGGAGTTCTCTTCCCCACAGAAGCTGAACCAGACTCAAATATTCATCACCAGACTCCTCCTTCTCAAGTATGTCAGACTCGGGCTCCTGTTTTTCATAGCCCAACACCAGGGCACCCAGCACCCACGGTCTTTCCCCAGAACAAGTTTATAGTGTTACTCTAATGGTTGATGACCATCCCAACTCAATCCCTGCAAGGCTATATCCATATGGCTATCTTCACTTAGCTCCAGAAGCTTCGTATGTGTGATGCCCAACCAAGACTGCGGACCATTAGCCACCCAGACATAAAGGAAACAACCCCCCGGTAACTCACGTCTTGCAAAAGCTCAGACCACAACTAACATCATGCACTTCCCCACATTCCTCCACCCAAGGGCTCACCTGCTTGACATGATGTAAAACATGGCCAAACACACCCACCAAGTTATAGCATAGCCACCACCACGTGGTCCAAACCTGTCTGTAGGAAACCCTCTGATGTTCCACAGTACGTGCATGATAAACAAACCATCCTAACTTTTAAGAAATCACATTTCCCTCTCTTTAGCACGGTGGTGCCCATTTTTAGGTGGTGGCCACAAGCAGTGACCCTGTCAGAGCTGTTCCAACATACTGCGTGAATTCACAAAACGAGCATACTTCTGAAGATGAGGACTTCTCATAGAATAAAGCATCCAGTCTCATAAAACTGAGATTTCTCCCCAAAACAGCTGCATTGAAATGGTCTGGAGAACACAGTGGCTCGACTCGTTATTTAGCACTGAGGTAGTGATATCCAGCAGAGCACAGTCAGTTGTGACGGACTGCAGACAGATCTGCCTCTACACAAAGAGCCTCTCCAGATCCTGTTAGTGTGAGTGAGGTGTCATCAGAACCACCCGGGGTAAACCCTCAGTGCTCCCCAACCAAGAAGACGTTCCATCTCCCAAGCCAGCTAGAATCTCCCTTCCACATTACCTCCAGCATTTCCCAAGTCGGGCATCCGCCAACAGCACTTGGCAGCCCCACCAGGATTTGCAGAAGAGAAACAACACCTGTGGTGTTGCTCAGACATGCTCCGTGAAGTCTACGCGAGAGTCTCCCTCAAGACGTCTGAACGTCTACCTAGTCCTCAAGGGAAGGACTTTCCATCGTCGAGGCTTCCTGAGGTCCTGTGTACATGTACCGCTGTCATTAGCTTAGGGGCAGAAGAGAATCTGCAGTGATGTCTAACCCTACGTGGGATAGAGATGGTAGCACCTGACCAAGGCAGCATCCCAGAGCTCCTTGGAGCAAGACCAGAGAGCATGATCAAGGGTCTACCAGAAGTTTATCCCTGCTCCCATTTGCTGAGAAGAACTGACATCTCAGAGGAGCCAAGAAGGCATGGGTAGCTTGGATAAGCTGGGCCGGGGGGTAGAGGGCTTTAAGCTGGGTTTTTTATGGTCTACATTATTTTTGTGAGGCACCCAAGTTGGTCAGCCATAAACAGAGGCACATAGTTGAACACCTGTTCCCTTCGAAGGGCCTGGAGATGTCCGCGTTCGCGGGACCATGCAGCAGAATATCGCCTAACCACACACAGCGCAATGCGACCCCTGGGGTTACTGCAGAAACCGGTCCAACTTCTCCTGGATGCGGGCGAATGCATCCTTCCCCATGTAATCGATGCGTCCCTCCTCCCATTTTCTCCTCTCTTCCTCGGGACTCGGCTCCTTGACCTTCTCTTCGATGGAAATTTCATAAACAGACATGGCCAGGTCAACCTAGGGAGGACAAGCAGACAGAAGATGGTTTTTGGAGCCATCCCTGGCGCAACTGAACATCTGGTTTAGTGACTGGGTCTACAAATGAATCTCAGTTCTCTTGAACAAAATATGTGCTGAGTTTAATATAATACTCTTAGAAGAAGATGCTTTTCCTGGCCACGTTTTGTGAAATCTTAGAAAATACCATGGTACATGTGTTCACTTTTTCATAAGAAGTGTTTTAATTTTTACCACTAAACCATTTTACACACACACCTGTACCGATTTAATGCTTCCACCCACCGGAAACCTCAATGTTTGGTATCACCGTATATAATCAAACTACATGAAATCAAGAAAATACTCCCCTTGTATGAATAAAGCCTATAGTAGTTTGGACAGCCTGCCAAAGCCATTTAAATAATAACTGCAGTGGTTTTCTGCTTGCAAATGGCAGGGTTTTTATCCTCTTAAAGCCAAAATACGAGACAGTATATAAATACAGACATGTGCAAATACACACACGCACCTTTTGTTTGGCACTCAAATGGGTCAATAAAAGTAGTGAATATGTTTGCTTTAAAAATTTCTTACCAAGGATTAGAAAAAGATGTCTAAAAATATGCATGTGCTGATAACACACACACACACACACACACACACACACACACACACACACGCTACAGGAGACACTCAGGTGTTCCCCAGACACTGTGTGTGTTGGTGGGATGACACTGGATGCCAGATAGTTAAATTAGAATTTCGATGCTACTGGGCATATGGGACTTTCTACTCTGATTATTTACAATAGTGTTTTTAAAGAGTTTGTATGGATAACGTTCTGTTTTCTACCCTTGTTCCCTTACATCGTGTTCAAACACTGCCATCCTATTGGCCAAGGAAGTAGCAAGAGTTAATAAAGAATTATTTTCCATTAGATCTTAGCCCTTCTCTCCTCTAAGAGCCCTTGGATTCGGGCTCAGTGCATGTCTGGGAACTAAAACTTTCTGGAATTAACAGGACCCATAGAACACATGGTATACTATCGCTGAACACATGGTATACTATCGCTGAA